ATAACATTTAGAGATTCTGAAGCTTTTTGTTTGATGGGTGTGCCCTGATGATTTTATTTTTGTAATCAATTAGTAACATCTGAAGTTTTTGGCTTAGGTGGCTGTGCTCGATGAGTTTGATACTAACTCCTCACAGTCAACCTGCACCTTATTTTCTTTATTGAGGTCAAATAAATTATTTCGTTTCGTTTCGTATGTATGTATTATTATTATTATTATTATTATTATCAAACACTTATAAAGCGCCTATTAAAATAAATATCTCTCACAAGCGCTATCGAAAAAAGAAAAATAATGTACATCCTATCAATAGACGATATGATACAATCAATTACAATTGTTCATCGCAAATAGATAAGTTTTCAAATTCTTTTTGAAATCAACAATGTTCATCTTTGACATTCTCAACGACATTGGCAGACTATTCCAGACGATTGGTCCCGACACTGCAATGTCTCTAGACGATGTCTGCAGCTGCGTAGTTGGTACAATCAACAAATTGACGTCATCTGATCGCATGTGTCTGCCAGTCGAAGACAGCGGCTTCTTCATGAATCTATCAGCCAGGTATTCTGGGAGTTGTCCGTTTATGGCCTTGTACATAATGACGCATATTTTGTAAAAAAATTCGTTTCTTCACTGTTAGCCAATGGAGGCTATTCAGAATTGGCGTCACATGATCGTATTTTCTGCCTCTAACAATCACCTTTGCAGCTCTGTTCTGAATAGACTGGAGTTCAGCGATAGACCTTTCTGGCAACCCATAAAACAGACTGTTGCAATAATCCAATCTCGAGTGGACAAACGCATGAACCAATGATTGTGTTACAGTTTGATCCAGACATTTTCTTATTCGGTATATTTGTTGAAGTTGTGCTGAACATGATTTAGATTGTGATTTTATGTGGTCACAAAGTTTTAATTTAGTGTCAAAAATACATCCCAAATTGGTAGCTTTCTTGCAAAATTTTATCTCATTATCTTCAATCACTATTGAATCAATTTTTACTTTTGATAGCTGCTGCCAGGTGCCCACTGGTAAAAACTGTAATTTATTTTGATTAAGTTTTAGACAATTTTTTGACATCCATTTGTCAACTTCAGCCAAACATTTTATTAGTCTTTCAACTGCACTTTCGAACTGATCTGGTTCACTGCTGACTATTATTTGAATGTCGTCGGCATATGCATGATAAAAAAAACCAAAAGTATTAATTACATTAAATACATCAGCTGTATACAGTATGAACAAAATAAGTCCAAGTATTGAACCTTGTGGCACTCCGGATGACTTTGTTTTTACACTAGACAGATGCCCTTTGAAAAATACCTGTTGAGTCCTTCCAGTCAAATAGGGGTCGAACCACTTGATAGCAGTTCCAGCAATGCCAAAGTCGTGAATTAATCTGTTCAATAGAATTTGATGATCGACACAGTCAAACGCTGCACTCATGTCCAAAAATGCGAGTAGAGCAATATTCTGTTTGTCGATGGAGGCAAATAATTCGGACAAGACATATAACAATGCCGTCTCTGTAGAATGGTAACGTTTATATCCAGATTGATGAATCGGGAACAAATTATGTTTATTTAAATGATTTACAAGTTCACCTACTACGACACGTTCTATGATTTTGGAGATGAAACAAATGTTAGATATTGGTCTGTAGTTTCCGAGCTCATTAAAATCTGCGTTTGTTTTTTTCAAGATGGGTATCACAACCGCATGCTTGCAAGAAACAGGAAGTGCTCCAGCACACAAACATAAATTAACTAAACTTGTGAGAAACGAGATGAAGAGAATTCAATGAATAAGCTTTCCATTAAATCGAATTTTGCTTTGCGTCATCGTCATCATCGCCATCATCATCATCGTCATCATCATCACTGCTCAATCATCATTAGTACCATCATCATCATCATCATCACTAGCATCATCATCATCATTGCTCTATCATCATTATCATAATTTTCTTCCCGTGACCATTTTAATCTCATCAAACAAATAATTTATATTTTTCATTAAAAATGACACATGTATGTATGGATGGATGGATGGATGAATAGATGGATGGATGGATAAATGGATGAGTGCATACATAGACAGCCATTATCATCTTCGTCCTTGCTTTTAAAGTTTGTCTGAAACCGTTAAAATTAATGAACGCCTTCCATTTCATAGACATGCACATGTACACATACACGCACGCTAATATGTATACATACACACATGCACGCACACACACACATGTACACACATAAATGCACGTGTATATTCATTATACTGAAAACACATTTCTGTTTCGACATCATTTTAGAAGTCTCTCGTCAAAGCTTTTACACAGTGATAAAAAATTAGGAGCGTTCCTGAAAGCAAGTACAAAACATGTACAGTACTTGTACATAGTGATATTTATTTATTTATTTATCCGTGTATCCATTACGATGCTTACATACATTGCAAATATAACTGATACAAATATAAACATATACCTGAATACCTAATGACATTCAAGTAGATATATAGCATTTATAAACACGTACAAAAAAGTTACACGTGATGAGAAAAATGGAAAAACAGCATAAATCAGCATGTACGTACTGTACACACATTCATTAGGTCGTGAAGACAAAATTAACAAATCACAAACAAACAAATACGAAATAAAAAACAAACAAATACTTAACCGACCAAACAAACAAATACTTAACCAACCAAACAAACAAACAAATACTTAACCAACCAAACAAACAAACAAATACTTAACCAACCAAACAAACAAATTTTTAACCAAACAAACAAATACTTAACCAAACAACCAAACAAACAAATACTTAACCAACCAACCAAACAAATACTTAACCAACCAAACAAACAAGTACTTAACCAACCAAACAAACAAATACTTAAACAGAAAAACGTGTACGTCAGTGAAATTATCAAGGATGGAGCAATTGACCTTGACGGAAGGTTAAAAGTTGGTGACGTCATTTTAGAGGTAAATATTAAGGGTGATGATGATGAGGATGATGATGAGGATGATGATGAGGATGATGATGATAATGAGGAGGAGAAGGATGGGTGATCATGACAATTATAAATGAAATAAGATAATCTTGAAAATGATGATAATAATAATAATAATAATAATAACAACAGTGGAAATTGTAAGGGCCTTGACGACAATGACTGATATGAATGACCGACAATGATGATGATGGTGAATGATGATGTTGGTAATTACAACAATGATGATGATGATGGTGGTGTCCATACAATGATGATGGTGGTGGATTCTGTATCGTGATGATGGTGGTGGTTTCTATATGAGGATGATGGGTTTGATGGCAATTATTTTATAACAAATGAAGGATTATAATGGGTAAGCAGCTTGTTGAACATTTTCAGTCATACAACATCTTTTGAAATTTATAATTTTAAAATTTTCAAAAATACATTTTCAAAAACATCCACCAGATAAACGGTCACAAACTCGATCAAACGCTCAACAACAACAACATTAACAATAGCAACAACAATAGCAACATCAGCAACATTGTTAACAACAACAAAAACAACAAAAACACCGCAAGCACAAACAACAACACAAACGTTAACAACATCAATAAACACATCAACAACTTCAACGACGACGACATAGCAAGAGCCTATTATCTCCTGCAACAAAACAACAACAATTTAAAACTTCTAATAAAACGTTCCAAAAACCAAAACAACAACAACAACACTAGCAACGACAGCAGCAACGAAACATCAACGACAAACAACAACAGAAACAACAACTCGCGACAAAACAGCAACGTCAGCAACAGTTTAAAAGACTATTCAACGTTAGAATTCAACAACATCAGCTACTACGACAACTTCACTTTGGAGTTGGTGAGGAAGGTCAACAAAGGACTCGGCATCTGTTTCTCCTACGGACATTACAATAATTCACTCCTTGTTACAAATATTGTTAGTCTCGCTGCACTCCTACTACTTACTTCTGTTTTTGTTGTTGTTGTATTTTTGTCAAATGTTCAACTTTTTTGTTGTTTCTAAATTTATGATATTTCATTGTCAACAACTGAATTATATAAGAAGAGATTTTATTTTACAAAAATATTTATAAACTTTTTATAAACAAATATTTACGTACAAAAACGAACACGAACATATACTACAAACATGTGAACAGGTTCAAACATAGAAGTCAACTCATGACAAACACACACACACACACACATACACACACGCACGCACGCAAAAACAGATCAAAGGAAGCGCAGTTGACATAGATGGAAGATTGATGGTGGGTGACGAAATTGTGGCAGTCAACGGAGAAGAAATAGGTGAAGGTGATTTGAAGGTCACGAAACTAAAAGTGAGAATATTGTAACTGCATGTTCTCAAGTTTTTAATTTACGACACCAATGTCAACTTGTGTTTTTTAAAAGTGTCGTTCAAAAAGTAGCAGTTCGAAACAAGAAACGTTTTTCGTAAACAAGCTTACATTATAGTAATAGTTAGTTTAAGCTGCAGGTTTTAAATGTTCAATTTCAAAAAAGAATTCTCTTTCTCTCTTCATCTTCAGTCCCAATTTTCTTTACCACCACGCTCAGCTTGTGGCAGGGAACGATCCATCACACTGCTGGGTATCAATTAGCACAATCTGTTACAAAAACAGTCAGTGGACAAAAAACGTGTGCTCTACAAAAGCTGTGTGTAATGCATTACGGAAGTGTTGTCATATTTAATTAGACGTGGCCAGTGAGGCGAATGCACTGCCCACCGCTCGTTCCCCGCACTTGTCAGTAATAATTACGATGATGTAGGTGGAGGATATTTTTTGGAAGTACATGGCTGGGCTGGGTTTTGTGGTGAATAAGTGCAAAGTTCGTAAGTATGTAGTGATTAAGTGCATAGTTCGTAAGTGCATGAGTGCGGGATTTGAGTTTGTAGTGCGTTAAGTGCATTGTCAATTAATATAATTCATCGCTATTCATTACCTTATGTTCTGCCGACCTGTCAAGAACGCATTTTAACCGCGCCAACAACACTGACGACGACATGTTCACAGTTCGTTCGACTTAACAAGGAACTTATTACATTAATGTTATTCCGCCGCAGCGGAAACAATACCTTATTCCATATTTTTCAAAAGAATCAAACTAGGTCAGACAAAAAAATACAGGAAGCTCACACAAGCGAACATACAGACACATACACATACACACACACGCAAACGAATACCTATTTTGAACAAAGTGTTTAGAAGTAAGATAAAAAAAAACATATCGTCAGAGATATCGCAGACGTCACTTGAATACGGCATGAAAGTTCTTAAGTTAAAGAAAGAAACGCATAGACGCACGCGTATTTTTAACGCCGTGAGTATAAAGTTAATGTACGTGATGGTGTAATGGTAAAGTAACTGGCACTACTATGGCAGTGATCGGATTCGATTCCAAAGAGATGCCCGGCTATCACATGCAACGTGTTTGATGCTTTGTTTCAAGTGTATCTATGTACTGTGTTTTTGTTGCTGTTGTTCACGCTTCTGATAAATATTGAAGAAAGAATCGTAATAAATAAATAAATAAATGATAAAATATTTTTGACTATAATCACCGACCTAGACGTATAGCGGGAAAGTTACCTTAAAAGTGAACCGGATCAAAAAGATAGCAACACATCCCGTGATCTGACGAGAAAGAGGATGATGATGATGATGATGACGATAACAATAATTCCAATTTTTTCATTTTGTTGAATTTCGTAGCTATAACCATTCTCGCCACCGCATTATTTCCGTAATAGAAACTTCAGCACCGTTATTTACTATCATATGATTATTGTATTGTTATCACTTATGACATCATCTTACTACATCATCACATTATCACTATCACACGTTCATACTGCATAACTGACTGCTACATATTTATTTATTTATAATTAATTCATTCTATGAAATATATATAAATAAATGAATTATATATATAAATAACTAATTTATATTTATGTATATATATATATATATATATATATATATATATATATATATATTCAATGTATATAAACAAATACCAGTCAAGATGTTAACTTTAATGGTCACCATTGTATTTATCATCGTTGCGGTCATCGTCATGATAAAAATAATATTGCTGCCAGTTATCTTTCCATCATCTACTTTTTATTTCACCGGCGTCAACATCATTCTAATCATTCCAACGTAATTGCCGAAACATTTCCATGAATTGAATCAATAACATTAATTATTTTAATTAGGATGATGATATTATGATAATTATGTAACAGCACTTGACTTGACTGAAGACATTCTGTCCGCGAAAGAATTTTCTACTGTTAAAAACTCTCTCTGCCTGTCTCATTACACGAACTCTTTTTTTTAAAAAAAAAACATTAACCTTTCCAACATTAATGACAATAACTTTAATTCGTTAATGTTTTATATAACAATGTTGCTAACAAATGTGTTACACTACAATAAACCTATTTAAATGCGTGTGATTAAATTGACTAGGTTAATTAAATACCTTGTTGGTTTCGGTTAGCAAGACAACTTTGGAATGTTCTTTACGTTACAACACATTATTACATCACAACAACGATACATAGATGAGAAAACGTACCGTGCTTGCCAAAAGCTGAATTTATTTTAAGGAAACGAATGATTAAAGGCGTTGGGGAGCCTAAAATTCATGTTGAAAGGTTGGCTGGTGGTTAGGTGATGATGGAATAAATGGAGGAGGAGCAAATTGGATCTAACTGTCAATCAAATTCAGACGATGAAGATAACGGATCTTTATTATAGTTTATTGGTCAGTTTTTCTAAGTAAATATTTATATTTTCTTCAATTGAATTAACAAATGTTAAGAATGAAAAAAAGTTAAGAAAAAAAATGTTCAGATATCCATGTACGACTCAGTCAATTCTCTGAAATCATCATCATCATCGCCACCATCCCAATCATCATTGATAGGAGGAGTATCATTATCATCAGCAGTCTGCATCGTCATCGTCATCTTATCATCTTCATCTTCGTTGCTGGCGTTGAAAGTTGATTGTGAGTTGTTGTTGCTGCTAGTTGACGCTTGGCTTGATGACTTCACAATGGTCACGCTCGTGTCTGCAAATAATACCCACGTTAATAGCAATAATACGCAGCTGCATGTATGCATTAATAGCGTATTTCATTTTATTGATCTCAGTTTTAACAAAATTTCATTCCAAGTGAAAGATATTATATGAAAATTAAATAGAATGATAATAAAAGAAAGAAAGAAATGAGATGAAATAACTGACCCTTGAAATTTCTAGAAGCCTCTGTGTGGTCCGCCAAACTATTGCCACTTGCAAGTTTCTGGCTGTCATCGAAATATTGATTGGGATGATTGGTTACGTACCTGAAGTTTGTTTCGTGCTTCAGTTCGAACAGCCGACCGCATGCTAACTGGCACTGGCCTTGTTTTGCCAGATTTGTAATCTGTTCAATGGTTGGATGTTTGTTGTTGCTCATGTTTGGTACGTTGGTTGTGAGTGGCTGGCCAGTCATGCGCTGGAGCGGTTTGGCGGAGGTTGATTGTGATTGGCTGATTGTGTGGGATTGCGTTTGGTACTTTGATTGTGATTGGCTGGTTGTATGGGATTGAGTTTGGTACTTTGATTGTGAGTGGCTGGCTGGCACTATGTGTGATTGAAAGAAATTAATTAGTTGTAGTGTTACATTTTTTATACAAATTAGTGTAATGATCTGTGCAAACCAATCAGAACATTTGAAAGTTTGAAGAAATAACGCAAACTAAGATGCAAACGAAACGGGACACCTCATTAACGCCATCAGAAGATATCATCATCAACTTCAACTTCTGCCTCAGCACGTCAACATCACTATGACGGAATGGGCAACCTTGAGGTAGGGAGGAATGCAAGTATGATGATCATCCACCCAATAATAATGGTGGTGCATCATCTTCATCATCATGCCAACAACTACCCACCCCCCCCCCCCACACACACACACACACGCACACACATTACCGTGGTGATCTCCGACTCCAGGTTGGTTGGTGGTTATAATCTTCATGCAGCTGTAGGCAGAGAAACTGACCCTCTTACCTTCTTTGCCATAATTGTACCTGATACCATATGCGTACTGCTTGTAGAACTAGGGTGATGGACAAATTTTCACCATTTTTGAAATATAAACACATTAATGTATATTAATAAACATGCCTAGCGATGTATTTTTAAGAGTTTCGCACATATATAACAGCATTAAAACATTCTAGACTAAATATCAACTCAAATTATTCAAGTAGGCAGATGGCGCTACACGAAATTTCTCTCTATATTTATTGAACAAAATCAATCACCGTCTTATGTTTATCTAATACATGTGTTGTTGATATTCAGTCTATACAACGCAAGCCAGACAACGACGTCTGTCTACTCACTTTATCGGCATCCATACTTTTGAGAAACTCCTTCCTCCAGAAGTTCAAGGCCTCCTCAAGGTCAAGCCCGATGCCCTTGAGGAAGAGCCCGTATTGCAGACGGCCGAAGTATTTCAGATGATGTTGGTCCTTTAATGATCTGTGCAACTCTTGCATGCAGAGAGGGAAAGATGTTTTGCACAGCTGGTAGTTGTGTTGGGTGTGGTTGTGTTTTACGTGGTGTTGGGTTGTTGTGTCGTGCGTGCTCTGCGTAGTTGTGGCTCGTGGTGTGAATGTGTTGCGCGGATGTGTTACGTTTTGTGGCTGTGTGTTGTGCTTGATTGATGGATGAACGTCATCTCATTACCTCCTCAGCCAAGTGAGAAAGTTATATCATCATACATATTATTAATTTCATCATGAAAATTAATTGAATAATTGATAATAATCGATAATAATTCTAATTTTTCAACATCAAAATAGACACCAAAAAATGAACAAAATGGCCACAACCAACCCCATCGACCATATCAGCAGTCACCCTGCCCCCACTCTGGTGCTGGTTGCTGTACTCACTGCCCATGTACTTCTGGCTGATGTTGCTCAACATGGTCGTCAGGCGAGGTTCATCAGAGATGCGGTACAAAGTTCGGGAAAGCACCTTAAAACGGTTGAATACATCTACCCAATATCGACCAATTATATATTTACACATACAAACATCCAATCAACGTCGACCAATCATATATCTTCATATACAAACATCCAATCAACATCAATCAATCACATATCCTCATAAACAAACTGCATTCAACATCAACCAATCACGCATCTCCTCCAAATACAAACAGCTAAATCTTTAGATAGTTGGGCCCTGAAAAGGTTAGCCACCCCAACAACGAGTTCTGGCTGGGGTACATAGACGTACCCTCCCTTCAAATAGGCCCTCATTGATTTCACCAACTCCAATACTTCTGTGAAGTGTATCTGCTCATGATATTATTAAAACAATTATAATATTATTAATTATTATATTATCATTATCATAAATATTATCACTATGCCACCTAAAGCTCAACAGTTTGGAGAAAAAAAAAATTTGAATAACCAGTTAACCACTGCTAAACTTTTTTTATAAGGAACATAAAGAGAAACAGACCATTCAGTGATATCGACATTATAAAATAATAAATAAACAAACAAATAAATAAACAAATAAATAATTAAATAAATAAATAATTAAATGAAAAAATAAAAACCTTATAGAAGTTTGTAGAATGGAAGTGATTGACGTTTAGGCCGGCTGTGCCGTCAATCAATCTATCCCTTAGCTCCTCCTTCTCCTCGTGAGATATCTACCAAAGAGTTTGAGAGAGACAAATCAACTAAAACTCCTCAATTTTAAAAAATATCCGAAAATAGAATGATATCATTCGCTTTATAGATAGATACACAAAAATGCCATTAATGAAAAAAAGATTGAGATACTTTTAGATATTTAGAAGAAAAAAAGTTTAAAAGTAACATCATACACGTAACATTAAACTATTTAACGTCTATTACAAACCAAAAAAAACATCAATGAGTCAATGACATCAACAAAAGCATCAACCAACCACAGCATCCAAAGTCACAAAAAAAAACTTAACAACAACATATTAACTTAATGACGACGATGACAACAACAGCAGCAGACCGGCTTATAGTTGAGTGAGTTGTAGTGAAAAAATTCTTCAATTTGTTTCTCTTGGAGGAGTTGGAATCGAAATCTGAATAGATCCATCTCCTGGTTTATGAACCATCGTCTCAAATCCTCGCTGTTCGTAAATTAAGTAATTAAGAATACCAACAAAGTAGTAAATTGACATTATACAGTGTGATAGTGTAATGGTTAAGGTGATTAGCAGGACTTCTGCAATGACTGGATTTGAATGCTAGAGAGATCCCTCACTGCCTGTCACATGCAGTAAAATGTTATTCTCATTGCTATTGCTACACTTATATAGCGCTAATTCTAAAATGAATTTTTTCTAAATGTAGTTGGGAAAGTGAAATTTTGCCAGAATTTAGAGTGCAAAAAAATGAAATTACGTTTTGCAGTAGGCCAGTCTGAGGATGAAGTGAGATGTGTTGTCCTTCAGTCTGATACTCGTGTCTGAATTCTGAATATTTTGTCATGCTAGGTGAGATCAAATATTCTCCATCATCAATTTCATAATTAAAAATGTTTAAAAAATATGTTAAATTGGAAGTAAATTCAAAAACAGCATTCACAGGAGAATTGAATTAACCAAAAAAAACATGATGAGTATTATTTTAAAAGTTATTTTTAAATTATAAATTTGGAAAACTTTTAAAAAATTAATATGATTATTAAAATAACAATGATTATTAAAATAACAAATGACTAAACTAAACTCGTATAATTAATAAAATATTAATTGAAGATTCAATTCAAAAAAGATATGGTTAGCTACTAACATCATAAACTTTGAGGAAAACATTTTGTAGTGTACTATCTTTGCTGATGGCTTTCAACTCATTCCTCAGAGCATCTTGGTACTCTTGGGAACCTTTGATGAATTGTAGCCCAACTTTTTCTACTGCTTTCAAAACTGTGAATATTAAAAATAAAATGAGTATTTAGTACACAAATATTTATATTTTCATCTTATTTTAATAAGTAAATATCTAAAAAAAACAAATGATGTATATATCTGAGATGGAAACAAGAAATAAATAAATATGACGGTAATTTAGTTTGGTTTGGTGGTGCTATGTAAGTAAGCAAGGTAACAGTAAGTAACAGTAAAGTGGAATCCAATGAAATACACCACAAACACACACGCACACACGTGTTGGAAGTTGGATGAAACCCATGAAAACCAACACACTGACCTTTCAATCTGTCGTGGGCATATTCTTCGAAGAGTTGCAAGGATAGAACTTCAGTTGGTGGTGTGGTGTAGAAAAATAACGGCTGAGTTAGGTCGGGCTGCTTAGATAACTGCTGCAAATTTCTTCGCTTCTTTTTAGAGTTGAAATCCATTTTCAATTAAAGTAAACAATTTATTATTTTTTAACTTTAGATTCTAGAAATAATTTTATTAATCGGGCAAGGAAAGCTGTAAAAAGTAAACAAATAGTTAAAATGTGCGCGTAAAAAAAAGCAGTGACTTTAAATGAATATTAAATGTGATAACATGAAAATAAAAAGGAGTACCAATAAAAGTATTTGATGAACCGACGTTTTGATTAACGTCTGACTAAATTATACAACAGTTATATTTTTAAATTAACTTTAGTAAAATTTAAACCTAAACAGTTAAACAACATTTATTTATAGTAGTTAGTTAATAGTTTTCTTTATAAATAGTTTATCTCATAATTTTAAACGTTACTTTTAAAAGAAAATTTCAAGCAATTGATACATTTTAGAATTTTTGATTAAATAACTTGTATTTTAAAAAATTTTAAAGAACCTTTTTAATTTAAATGAGAGCGAAGTTTGTTTCTTTTTGATTATGTAAACAGCTGTTTTTGCTACGCAAAATGCATCACTCGCAAGTAAATGATTGCTTTAAAAAATTATTTATTGATTATAATTAAACATAATAAATAATTATTAAAAAATTAATTATTAATTAGTGAATTATTAATAAAATAATAAATATAAAGTAATAAAAGTCCACGATGCCTCAGTGCATAGAAATGATAAACGAAGGGTTTAGTAATTGGACCAAGAGTAATGTTTTCGCTGCACTCTCCGGTATTTTTGTAAGAAAGTCATTTCTTTATTAATTGCTTTCACTTTAATTAACTTAACTAACTTTTTTATTTCATTATGTTGTTGTTAATTTAGTTTGGAGTCTCAATAAATAAAGTCAAATTTTGTTATTAAAATTCGCGTAAAATTGGATAAGATTTTAGAAGAGAAGTGAAATAGTCAAAAGAAGAGAATAGTCAAAAGTGTAAAAAATGTACCTTCAAAATGTACCTACACATTTTTTATAAAGAGAGTGAATAACAATAAATATTTAGATCAAATACTTAAAAAAAACTGTAGTTAGTTAGTGATTATCATATTATTATAGATTATAAAATAATTTTTTATCAATTTCTTACCTAGTGATATATAATTTTTATTTTTTATTCTTTTTTAAATTTTCTCATAGTTTGCAGTTGGTTGGTGGATCATGATTGACACTGCTGTCAACTATCCAAGCAGTGCTGAGCTCAATCACGTGTTCCATGTCTGTGGAGTTGTCAGTACAGTTGGGTTCATTTTGTTAGCACCATTCAGTCTTCATTCTCATCATTATTATATTTTGAGTTTTTGATATTTTTATTGAAAATATTTTTTTCAATTTGTTTTGCCTCATCCATTCTTGGATGTTTATTTCCTGTTTACTGTTTTACAATTTTTTTTCAAACCAGGTTGAACGTTGTTCCTTTATCAGCTGTTAGAGGTGATGAAGATGATGATTCTTGCAGCAATGCTGGTGACTCTTTTTTGCTTATTCATTTATTTATGTCTGATTTTAAAATTATATTTTAAAAAATTGTCCAGATTAATTTATTAACTAAATTTAAATCAATTAAATTATTGTTGTGTTAATTGGGAATGTTTGCTTGTTAAACATTGTGTTATATATACTTTCATAATTTCATTGTATCATTAATTAACATACTTTTCTTTTTTCAGCAAAGGGTTTGCCCATGTTTTTTCAATAAATAAATAAATGAAATAAATTTATTGATCTGATTATTCATAATCATTCTAGGTTACAAAGCATTGTTCTTTTTTAGCTGTGTGTCTTTGTTTGCTTCAGTAATAGTTTCATCATACATACTTTTTGGAGTCTACATTGTGACAGGTTCAACATATTCTCACAAACATTGTTTCTTATTTGATTTTTTGTGTTTGTTCAGTTTTTCAAACTAAGTATAATTTTATTTGACTCATTTGAAAAGCTGCCTGCTATAGTTTATTTTTTCTTTGCTCCAGTTTTTCTCTAGTTGTTGAGTGAAATGTTGTTGAATTAACAGGCAAACATCCTGTATGGCCAGGCATTGCTGTCTTCCTACAAAATGTTTTCATATCTATTGGGTTTGTTTGGATTTTTCAAATAAAATTCACAATTTCTTAACAATTTGTTTACATTTTATTCTTTGCATACTGACATGAATCCACTATTGCTTCGTTTTTTGGATTTTAATGCTAACAAGTTGCGCCATATTCACTGATTTATGACGCACCTTTTCAAGTTCATTAAGTCTCAAAGTTGACCTATCTAGCTGATAGCTGGATAGGAGAGAACATCATCATCCTTGCTATTACCATTGCTATCAAAAATGATATTTTAAAACGTTTCTCTTTACCTCTAGATAACACAACCAGCCTATTGTTTGAAACGTAGCTGCCGTTTCAGTGCGCCAAATCAAATCGAATCAAATCAATACAAATGATTTTCTTAAATAAGCATTACATACGTGTTATTTTGTTTAAATATCACGTAACACCTTCGTCGTAACATTGTGGCTCATGCGTTTACTTTCAGGTCCGTGATTTACAAATTCACGAGAAACTACGACGCCGACTGATCAAATGAATTGAAAATGAACTCTACTCGTGCATTTATTTTGATCCTGTATGTATATTCCAATCATATACACACACATAATGGTTATTTTAGTGTATATGTTGTTATTCTATTGGTGTTTGTACAGATCTTGTCAATTTTTTTGATTCCGATGTATAAAAACCTACCGTTATTTTATTTGTAATTCTGACAGAGCTAGTCTTCTTCTCGAACGTTTTTATCGTGTCAGTCAACTTATTCCAGGCTAATTTTGGTGGACTTTAATTGTTATATACATGACTTTTTTGTCACTGTTTCAAATCAGAAATTATTTTTAAGACTTTTTTACGTTGCGTACTTTTCTTTATAAATATACGTCATTTTGAATGAAATTTTTCCACGTTTTCACAGTAACGTTTAAATTTTTGTGACATTTGTTTATATTTTTGTACTATTTGTTTTATCGGGAGACGCTATTAAATAACGACACATAACAATTTTGTCTGGTATGGAGCTAAGATAATGTCAGATTTTAAACTGTTCGACAATTGCAAAAATGCAAATGTTTATATAATCATCTTCTTAGCAATTTCGTCGTCACGTGATCAAATGATTTCATATTTCGTAGCCTGGGCTTCGTCCTTTCCGCTGATGACCAGACTCGTGATGAAGTTGTAAAACTTGTCGCTGATCAAAAATTCAAGGAAGTACTGCGTGTGTACATTTGGTTGAAATGTGTGCGTCAATTGTTTTTTACTTCAAATTTTATGTGAAATAAAAGTAAAATAAAATTGTTTTTGAGGGAACAACAAAATATTTCAACTGAATTATACAGTGTAATTAGTGGTCCATATTTAGAAGCTACAGCTACGATATGAAAGAATAGAAAAAGATTGATGCAACAAATTTAACGTACGTCGTCCATGGCTCTATATGTGATGATTTGAAGGAGTTTGAACGTGTTCGTAGCTATTGTATTGCTCCTCATCTTAATGGCCATCACCTTCCTCACGTTCGTCGTGAACTTCATGCGTCTGCTCTTGTTCTCCACGTATCTTCAGCCCACCACATCGTTATGCAAATTAAGTTACTATTACTCGCTTGTTATTATTTTTCACAAAAAAACTAAAAAAAAGTCTCACTTGTAAAAACTTAAAAGCTACTTTCGTTTGACTATTAATGAAGAATGAAATTAACGTTAGACGAGAAGGTCTTGTCATCCAACCTTCTAACGATGAACCTGGCGTCGTCCAACATGTTCGTCGCTTCCAACGGAGTCATCACGTGATCCGGTTTGGAATTGGAATAAGTCTGTCTGAAGGTTTCTAAGGCTAGCCAACAGTTCAACAATTCAGCCCGTTCTTCATTTTCTAAAAACTATACGAGTTGTTTTAAAACAATTTAATTTTGGCGAAAATTTAATCAGTTGTAATAATTTTTCAATTTTGTAACGTGAAATGACAGAATGCGGTAAAATGATTTGAACAAGAGAACCTCAACGAAATAACTGAGCAGGACATTTGAGTAGAGGATGTCAGATAGCTTCAGTCGTCTGCTGGAAACAACTTCTAACACAAATCGCCAGAAATGTGAGCTCTGCATGAACTTATTGAAGTGCCTGTTTTGTTGTGAGCATATAATAATTACCAAAATTCAATTAATACGTTGAACGAATTTTGGCTAAAACTAAAAAAACCTTCTATGTAGCAGATGTTCTATCATGGGCTGCAGGGTCTCCTTGGTCATCCTAATTGGCCCTTGCAAATTATAAATACTCCGAAATATCAAATGTTAAATGGCTTTAAAATGAATCCGCTCACTTTTTATAAATTTTTGGTTTAACTTTCCGGCGTATTGAACGGATTCGGTGGAGGGATAAGAAATGACACACACTTCAGATTTCGGTCTATGTTTTTTGCTGGTTGCCTCTCTACCGCCGCTCGTGTGAACGGATGATGTTTGCTTGTTGTTAGAAATGCAACCAGCTTGTTCGTCGTTATCGTTGTTCTGTTCTAATTTGGAACAGACTTGTTTATCACGAAACTGATTCATTTTACTGCAGCTACTAATTTTGACGTTGTCCTTACCGCTATAAATAACGCTGCATGAATTGAGAGGTGCATCGTTGAAGTTGTGATTCATTATTCGATTGTTGATGGTGATGTTTCGATTGAGGGAAGCTGATTTGTTAATTTTATCACGCTTCGATTGAGCAGCACCGATGGAGCCAACGTTCAAATTACTGCTCCTCGAATGAAGGACGTCTTGCAGATAACACGAGTTGGCAAACATCGCCTTGTTTTGGACATCTATCCAAGTTTGAACCAATTTTAAGGACATAGTATCGTTTTTAAGAAAGTCAATGAAATAATGCCTGGCAACGATGTTATGCAGAAGTTCGTGCATGTCTGTGAGACAGAGAGAGGAGTACGTTGGATGCAGGTGCATTGTTTCTTCTAGTGAAATCAGATTTCGTACTGACTCTTATCAAATGTAAAATTGAACTAATTATGCTTAAATTAATTAATAAAAAAATTTCAAAAATCAATGACAGTCAATTAATTTTCTAACCTGAGTTCGCTGATGGTCTTATTAATTTATTAGATCGTCTACAATTTGTATCAAAATTTACCAACAAATCCTTGTTAATCGGAATTTGAATTTCATGTTTTTGAATCATTTCGTAAAAGAACATTTCTACAGTTTTATGAATATGATATTGAATCTAATCTAACTGATGATTGCCAGCGTTCACATGCGATATAAATAGATGCCAACGTAAGATACGGATGGATGATTCGTTCATTTGCAGCCAACGGTCCATATCGCATATTAGTCAGTGGAAAACGTGGACGCTAGCTCATTAACTGAGTGAATCATCTGATTAATAAAGTATGGGTAATTTAAACAAAACATCTTTCATGTAGATAAAAATCTCTATTTTAACGCATAACCAGAGTTTTATTTCAATGCGTCTTTACTCGAATCATCTTAAGGTGTTTTTTCTATTTCTTTTTTGGTCTATGCTTAAAAGTGAAATAAATATTCTTAATAACGTTTCTTTTGAATTTGGAAATTTGTTTCTCCGTTTGTCGGCGAGTAAGGTTCCTATTATTGCGTTCATTATTTTTAAAAATAAAATGCTATCTATTTCATTATTAAAATAATTAAATCATGATCAATCAAATTATTTTTTGTTTTAAGAGTTTTGTTTTAAGAGTTAAAATAATTAAATCATGATCAATCAAATTATTTTTTGTTTTAAGAGTTTTTGCTTGCATTCATTTCATAAATTATAAATTTTTTTTAATGTGTAAAGTAAAATGAATGAAATAAATTTTTTATTTCAATTTTTACACCAGAGAGATGTCTAGCTCGGACACTAATTTGCTTGCCATTGTTCTTGACTGCAATCCGGTTTGGTGGGGCCAGTTGCTTTCTCAAAATTCAGAGGTAAATATAAAATTTTTTAATTAGACATAAAATAAATTTATATATATTATATTTTTTTATATAATAACCAGTAATTGGAGTAATTTTGAAATTCTAATTTATTGTTGTGTTTTGTGTATACTTCAAAAGTTCAAACAAACTTTAATTATTATAATTATTAATTGTTAAACAGATAATTCTAATATAATTGAATAACTAATAATCTCTTATTATAAGAGTTTATTATAAGAGTCTTATGATTATGAAATATTGATCAACAGCTCAATGATTGTGTTTAAAATTACAAAGTTTATTCATGCGCTAATTGACTAAGATATAGTTCATGCACAAATGTTTATCAGGTTTCATTCACGAAGTGTGTAGATGCGTTGATAGTTTTCTGTAATGCTCACCTCATGCTAGACCAGGCCAACAAACTCTGTCTCATCATCGCCCACAACAAACAAAAGTATATTTTTCTCAAATTTTTTTATTCTAAGTTTCTTTGAAGGAAATCAGGTAACCAGAATGAGGATCTTATGCAGACCCCTACTGTAACTAAGACACACATATATTTTTATATATTCTACAACATTTGTACTGATGCGCAAAAGAAAAAAGTTCACAATTTCAATCAATAATTAATAATTTATTTTTTTGTAATTATTTTGTTTCCATTTAATTAATTTCTGGAATATTTGAAATGCAATATATTTTTGCTTTGTTTCGTTTTAAGCCAGTACATCTACCCAAAAACGAAGAGTGAAGGTGAAGTGGATATGCTGGAGGATGACAACAAGCCACAGTCAGATGGCATGTATGAACCATTTGCCGACCTCACACACGTTGTCAAGGAACAAATTTGTGATCTTGTTCTGAATGGTTCAGTTTTCATATTCAAGTTTTTATTTTTTTATAATAATATCTTTTTAATTTGCTCCAGTACATTAGACTTGATTTGTATCATGAAATTAAATCAATATATTTTTAAAAATAAAACTTGACAATATTTTTCCTCGCAAAGTGTATAAACTTCTAAATGAAATAATGAATCACAAACGCAGACAACAGTACAGAATTAAATTCAGATTGCATGCTGACAGGTGCAATGTCCATGGCATTATGCTGTTAGTTCTTCTTTCCATGTTTCAGATATTTCACTTTTTACATTTTGCTCTTCTGTCATGTGTATTGTCTGCAAACTATTAATGGATTGATTTACTCACTTGGTGTTTTGTTACTTTTCAATTTAAAGTTGGTGCCTAGTTCTTATGTTATTTTATTTCTGTTATCAGATATAAATCGAGTCACAAAAGAAGCCAGCCCAACAGAAACTGTGTCATCTAGAATATTGGTTTGTGGTTGGTTTATTAAATTTACGAGATTTTTTTAATGGCATCACTGTTTACACACACACGCACACACACACACGCACACACACACACGCACACACACACAATAATGATTACATTTAGCAAAATGGCAGCATATTAAAATTGTTTTAAAAGCCCTATTTAATTTTCAATCACCTTTTTTGAAATAATTGAAGGTTATTAAGGGCTCTAAAGATTCATCTGCACAGTATATGAACTTCATGTCACTCATGTTCACTGCTCAGAAGATGGTTGTTCCTTCTTTCATTTCAATTTTTTTCTTTTTTATTTGATTTCTGACTTACAAATATTTTTTTTTTAAATATTTGTTAGGAAGTTTATAATATTTTCTGGAAATCATTTAATTTTCAATAGAAAATATTTTCTGAATTAAACCTACAATTCAACAGAATGTGGTTTTGGATGCTTGTATACTGGACAATGACTCAAACCTTTTGAAGCAGGTTCAAAAGACTTTTTTCATAATTTAGGATCATTTTTTTTGTTACAGATTATCTAAAGTATTCAACTTCATTTTTTTGCATATCTTATAAATAATATTATAATTATTTTATTTATAATTTATTGTAGTACAAATTATTAAAATGTAAATATGAATTGGGGAAAATAGGGATGTGACATTCTTGACGGTGTCTACTTGAAACTTCCTCAGCTCTCTGGCTTCATGGAATACTTGCTTGTAAGTTTTTCTCTGTTTGCTTGTTTGTTCATTTTATTTAATCATTAATTTATAAAATCAGAAATTGATGTAGAATCAAAAATAAAAAGTGTTATATTTATTGTGGAAGATTGTTGTTTTAAATAATACGAAATTTCTTAAATACAAATTTCTGAAAAACATCTAGTGCTTATATCTTCCGAGTCCGTCGACCAGACATCAACTGACCCTACCTCCAAGAATTCCGGTTGGTCACAAGGCTGCTTGCTTCTGCCATCGGTCACTCATTGATATCGGCTACATCTGTTCCGTCTGTCTATCGAGTATGTCCATGTTGTTATTATTATTATTATTATCGGATTATTTGTATAGCGCTTTTTATTTCACTCTTGTGTTATTATTTTTTCTTTGTATGTATGTGTCTTTTGTTTAATTACATTTTTGGGCTAGATTTGTTTAAGTATGTTTTGTTGTGCTTAACTTTTTCATTTTCGTTTGTTGTCATTGTGATGATTTTTTAGTTTTAAAAACTTTTTTTGTCATTCATATTTCCATTAATAACTTTTTTAATTGTAAGTGGTGTAGACATAAATAGCGTTATAGCGTTTTAAAATCAAATTTACAACGTTTCATGAATTTAACAATTTGCAATTGATGCCTATCTGATTCACAGTATTCTGTACATACGATTCAATCTGCCCAACATGCCAGTAAGTTACCATACCGTTTATATTCAAATATGATGGTGGTCATTATGTGATTATTTGTAATTTCTTAATGTTAATGATGATCAAAATAGTGAGAATGTTTTGTTAAATTGTTACATTTTGAACTTTTAATATTCTTATAGATAATTTTAGTATAAATTTTCATATTTTCTCTAGCTGTAAACATTTAAAGACGAGATTGACCAACTGACATAAAATAATTTATTACTTTCAGATCAATATTGAAATTTCAAACCCCACAAAGAAAAAAAATGAAAATGTAACTGACACATCTTTCTTTAAATAATTGTTGACGTTTAAAAACTCTTGCTTTCCATATTTTTGTAACCACATACGATCGATGTTTCAGCATGCTTCCATACAAAAAATATTTTCACACAGTAACCACATGGAACTGATGATAAAGACACGTGTAAAGGTGTATATAACTTGTAAATGGATATTTTACTGAAAATTAATTATATTTTGATAATAAATGATAAAATGATCATCATCAGATTAAATTTTTTTGGATTTTTCTACCATAGCATCATGCTTTTTTAAAGTCAGCCCATCGTTATGTAATAAATTTAAATTTCAAAATGATTCAAAAAATTGACAAGAAATTTAAAAAAAGTGGATAAGGCAAGTTCGAATGAAATGTTGTTCGAAACTGATAATGTGATACAAAAAATAATTATGATTAATAGTTAGCATCAGCATCGCTGGTTTCTGCAGTAAATTAAGTCGTTTAAGACAATCAAATGATGAGTGAGTGATTATGTCTGAATGATCCATCAAGCTTCTTGTGATAATAACGCGAAATATAATATTAATATTCAATATATTTTGAATTGCGATAGTAAAATGAATGAAGCGTAAGATTTAAACCCAATTAATCATAGTGATTAGTAACTTGGGTTTAATTAAAACGATTGTAAAATATAAGATTTGTATACACGCGTTTAGTCAAAAACAAAATATTATTGTTATATGTTAATATAAATATAATTCGCTATAAGTTAGTTCGTATATCAAATACTTAACATTAAATGGTTGGACAGTGTTTTGTCAGATGCCATATCACCGAAATAATTATATGATATGTTGATTAAATCCATAACACTTCTAATTACAAACAGTCTATTATTAAATTAATCATGTAACAACAGATGTATATATATATATATATATATATATATATATATATATATATATATATATATATATATACATACATACATACATACATACATACATATATATATATATATATATTTATTTATAAGAGTTTCTTAATATTGTGAATAACAAATAGAAATTAACTCGTAAACATTTAAAAATGCAACATCATCAGTAGACTGCTAGCGAACGTTTGAAACATTCGCTCACATAATCAATCCAGTTAATTGTTCCAAATTGTTGGACTTCCCCTTCAAGAACATGTCAGTCTCCCAAAGTGCAGCCACTATTGTCCTGATGTCCACTTTGGAACAGCAGTTGGCGCCGTTAGAAACATCGGAACAGGATGGCTGAGACATGGTGGAGGTGTGTGTGAATGGTTCGGGATAAGGAGGCTGGATTCGAAAGAAGGGAACCTTGATGTCGTTGCACCAGGCTCTCGACTTCTCCACCGTTCTCATACTCAATTGCTGTTTTTGAGAATAATGTGTTAAGAACGACCATAAACGCTGATGGGATGTTGTAAGACAGCTTTTTTTTTATAATCAAGTTTGAAAAGTCCGACTAACAATGTTGGCGAACATAATAGAATTAGTATATAAATTTGAAAGATATTTATCGGTTCAACTGAAAATGTAATTATTTGATCAAACCTGATTGAACAAGAAATCAAGAACTTCTCCTGTCAGTAGCTTCTTGGTTGAAGCATCGCTGTCAACATTGTTGATAATCTCTTGATCTTCTAGTTCGTGTTGTTGATGTTTAATTTGTTGTGACTGTTGTTTCACGCCAACTGACGCGACGACATGAATCGGTTTAAATTTATCTCCTTTAACGGACTACAGAAAACAATTATAGGTGACAATTAAAAAAGGATTTAGGCTAATGTCAAAGCGTGCGATTTTAATGGCAAATGTTGCTGATATTAACTGCTATTTTCATAATAAGTTTGTCGTTATTGAACGTTATCAACATGATACACCGCCACACTTACGGCAAAATTGAATTCAGTGATCTCCTCGAGAACATCCAGCGTTGGATTGTAGGCCAGCACGCATCCATCCACAAATGATCCAAAGGCGTCAAAAAATCCAAACCCAAGACCACTGGATCGGGCAGCTTGCCATACTAATTGTTCTTTGATGATCACGAAATGGGTAAAAAATACTTTGTTCATCTAATACTTGTTAAATTTTAAATACTATATTTTGTCTACAGCTGCATTAGTAACGGAGCTGCTACTTCAGTTACTGCCACTACTACTACTAAAACTGCTGCTACTACTACTGCTGCACTACTACCTACTACTGCTAGAATTACTTATATTCAATATAAAAGAAATGAAGATACCATTTGGCTTATTAACGGAAGGGCAGGCTTTCTTATTTTTAGAGTTTTCCGTGGCTGGCAGTTCATAATTTTTAAACTTGTGAAGGTTCAATATTCCTTTGTCCAGCATACTGCTGAATATTACCGTTCTGGAAGGAATTTAAATTAATTCTTATCTTTAATTGCAAAAGTGGGTATGACAATTAGAATAAGAGAAAGAATTTGATGACGCATTTAAACGGAAATTGTTACAAATTTTGTCGCATTAGTTCTCCAAAACGCGTTTTGTACCAACAATAGATATCCAAATTAATTCACCCACGACCGACAATCCATACAAACTTTGGACCCTGTACTTCAAAGAGTTTCGTTTTCTCCCCAAATTGTTTCATCAGCAACTTTTCAAAATGACTGGCATTAAAGGGCCTTCGACCCACCAGAACCTTGTTCAACAGCTCCCAGTACTGAACCAGTATCTCGTTCAAACTTTTGTCTTTATCCAACGTAATGTTATTTATTAATTTCTTTATTCTAAAAAAATACTGAACTTTTAAATTTTAAGACATTTGTATTAAAAATATGGTTTTGAAATTATAAATTTTGAATAATATGGATGATACAATAACACTAACTATTCTAAAGGTGAAACTCTTTTTTTACAATTGACATGTTGTTTAAAGAAGTTAATATAACATGGCGGACCTTGCATCAGTGAGAGAGCAATGTACGCTCCTGCTCCCGTCCCAGCGATCCAATCGAAGCAGTTTTTGAGTGACTGTTGTGTTAGGTTCTCCAGAGCTTGCAGGGCTCTTATAACAAACAGACCTTCCAATCCACCTCCGTCAATTATCAACACCTTCAAAATCAAAAGTTTTCATTATTTATCGGGTAGTCATTCATAAAAAACATACACGATTATAATGTTCGAATAACTAATCAACTTGTGGGATGAATTCAGCAGCAGTCAAACAAACACATGCAGCTCCATTTTTGATGACAACCGCAATATAAAATGAATAACAAGTAGTTTGAAGAAGCGAAAGAAAGTAACCCTGTGACCAGCCAATGAGATGTCTCCGTGGGGTAGGTCGTTGAGTAGTGGAGGTGGCGTCTGCACTTCTCCATTGCTTCCAACTTTGAAAAAGGTTTCGATCGAATTCAACGTTCATTTTAAAATATTTTTAATCAATATAGATAGGTTGAAACAAAAAAAATATAAATTGTTGCGGTGTTAAATAGTCTGAAATATCAACTGGACGTCCGTTAGAATACAAAAAACAACTTTCATAAAACAACACGAGTGGACACCTACCCGAGGCAGTGTCCTTGTCGTTGCTGACAGACTCCGATGACTTTCTCGAGGATGGCAATGCGGGTGATGTGGGTGATGTTGGTGATGTGGGCTGACCATCCACCATCACAGACATCTTCCTCTCCCTCGCTGAATCAAGGACCATCAGTTCAGCGTTTGATAGGTGAGCTGTTGTTTAAGTTCAGTATTTGTATCTTGTAGTAATTGTTAATATAAAGTTAATTTTGTTTGTCGTCATCTTCAACTTCAAAACCATTCATTAGAATCATCACTATAGTCATCATAATGACGATCATCTCCGTTTTCAACATCAAATTCACTAATCTCATCAACATCACTCATCTCAAGCAACATCATCACCTTTCAAAGTTTCCTCAACGCTGGCATTTTTGAGCAGCGGCAGATGAGATTGTGGTGGCTTGCCGTTGTTGCTGCCTTTGTGGCTGCACATGCTACTACAATCTTTCTTCATTCTCGCGCACCTTCCCGCACCGGCCTGGTGCAAGTAGTACATGATGGCGTCTCTGTCGTGATGTCATGTGATGCGATCATGTGATGCGATCATGTGATTATTTTATGAGGAGGAGGATGAAACGATTATGTGTGTCACGGTGAAAATGAAATGGTAATGTCACGGTGCTGGTGAAGTGACGATAGTTTGATATCGTCACGATGATGATGTGAGCTATTAATATTTCAAAGAGAAGATAAATTAATAATCATGTCGATGACGTCATGGTAATAATAGAGTAACGATGATGTAGAATAACGACTACTATGACAAATTAATTAACTACGGTTTTTTAGTAGAGGGAATGGCCTTTTCACGATAAATAACAAACATGAACTGATAACATTAGCTATAACAAGTAATTTGAAATTTGTGAAAACTACAAAGATGAAGTGTACCCACATATATCACATTATCATTGTACATATGCTGTATGTATGTTTATACTTTACAAATATGTATACGTATATATATAATAATGATATTGATATATAAGTTTTATTATCACAGCAATCAATTTTATAATGATAATTATGTTAATAGTACATATCACTGCTGCCTAGGTTTTTAACATCGTTCTAAATAGCAACAGAATTGTTACATGAAATAGGTAATAATAATATTAGCATTATATTGTGTGCGTGTGTGTTTGTTTGTGTGTGTGTGTGTTTGTTTGTTTGTGTGTGCGCGCGTGTGTGTGTGTTAGTGCTACTACTGCTACACTACTAAAATCAATACTGTCATCGCAATTATTACTCAACAACTATTAAACGAAAAAAAATAAAAAACGGTAATGATGAAAAAGATGATAGTGATAACGACCAAGAGGATGAAAGAGAGAGAGAGAGAGAAAAGAGAGAAAGAGAGAGAGGAACATCATCTATCTGAAATCGATGAGCATCTTGTTATTTACAAATCTTAAATATATTCAAGTGTATGAGTTTTCAATGGGAGTTTTCAACTATCTGACATTTAAAAGTAGCGACATCAAATTGCAACGAAGATGTAAGAAAAATCTTCATTAAAAAACCTTTAACAAAAATTTCAGTATAAAAGCAGTTGCAACAAATAAAATTAACAATATTATTCATTTTGTCATTCACCTTAGTGCCAGAGTCTATAACTTTCCAGGCTGATTAGTTATGAATCACATGGAAAATAATAAAATATGCAATATCCATTTTGTGTGGCAAACTAAAGCCAAGCAATCCTTATTGAAATTGCTGCTACCTTTCCTAGCCTGCTACACATCTCATTAACTTTTGGTATAACTAATTTACCAAAAACTATAAATAACAAGTGCTAATCTTACTATGCACACAATAATGGCAATACTAAATATCAATCTCTACGTCCAAACAAAGCTGAAATGAATAATTTTCATTATTTGATCTCCAACCGACTTATTTTTGAGACTTGTGTTGGCGACTTTGTGACGGATGGAGTCGTTTCCAACCAGCTCATTAACGTCTGCCCCAAACACGATCAACAGCATCACGAACTCGGGCCTGTCTCCCTTCAAAGGTTAAAAAAAGGTTAAAGGTCATTTGTAATTGACCTTTATTGTTACATTACCTTTATTATTATTTAAATTAAATTTGTAATTTGTAAGTAATATCTGTAACTGCAGTAGGAGCAGTGTCAACGTAGTAATGACTAATTTAATAAATAGCTGTGGCAACAGTGTGAACGGCGCTGATCGTATAATATCAATAGTATAAATCTTTAATGATAATAATAACGACGCGATGGTGATGCAACCTGCCGTTCATTCGAGACATTCGAGCGAGCATATGCCTTCTTCTGTGTTTATTTAATCAATTCACCGAGCTAGTTGTAGATTGATGGATTGATTTTCAATGCAAATATTAAAGTAGCAAGTAACCACTGCTGCACTACCGTGAAGCACACGAGAGTGTATTGTTATCTAAATGCATCTATCATGTCGATATCATTAAATTTTATTGCTTATATATAAATTAATTGGATGACTCAGATGTGGCTAAATTAGTTATTGAAGTGATGAGAGAATAAATTATGCAATTGGACGTTTAGTTATAGAATTAATTGGAAGAATTCTAACGGTAACGGCCAGGGTTAATGCACTGTTTCCATTTTTATCGCTGGCCTTGACATTGGCCCCTCTGATCAACAGTCTGGCGGCTAACTCAAACGCATTTTCTCGTATCTTTTTGAGGAGGGGTGTGTCTTCCTCTTTGAAGTCTTTATCCTCTAAATTTGCCTCAAAATCACATAAGATATCGATGGCCTGTGTGTGTGTGCGTGTGTGCGTGTGTGTATAAATGAGTGCGTGTGTGCGTGTGTGTATAAATGAGTGTGTGTGTGCGTGTGTGTATAAATGAGTGTGTGTGTATGTGTGCGCATGTATGTGTATAAATGTGGGTGTGTACGAATGTGTGTATGTATGTATGTATGTGTGTGTGTGTGTGTGTGTGTGTGTGTGTATGAATGTATGTGTGTATGAATGAGTGTGTGTGTATATATGTGCATGCATGTGTATAAATGAGTGTGTGTATGTGTGTTTTTGTGAGTGTGTTTGAGCGTCTGTTTGTGCATCTTATGTACTAGGGCATTGATGTTGCTGCTACTGTTATAAAAAATGTTATAAAATTAATAAAAAAAATAATAAAAAAATACTGAAAAGAAGAATAATAATAAGGTAATCGATGAATAATGGATTTAAGATAATTTAGATATACTTGCTTATGACTCATTCAAATTTTTGCTTATGCATTTTTGAAATTGTTTTTAAAAGCTCTAATGCATTATTTCAATCAGAATTATTTCAAACAATTGTTACGAGAGAGAGAGAGAGAGAGAGAGAGAGAGAGAGAGAGAGAGAGAGAGAAGGGAGAGAGAGAAAGCAAAATGAACAAAAAAGAGAAGAGAGAGTGGAAGAATGAGAAAAATGAGTGAGAGAAAAAAATTCAATAAACAGAAAGTAGAGTGATACAAACCTGAGTACTTGGGGCAAGGTGGAGAGGAGAATTGTTCTTCTTATCCTTCAGTCTCGATTGATCAGCTGATGATGTACACAACAGTTCTATTGACCTTTATAAAGATGGTTCAGTCAGCTAGTAACTAAACTATTCTATGTCTTTGGTTATATCTATATAAAAGCGCTCATTTTAGTGTTTGTTTCTACATATAATATAACTTTAACAGTATTCATCATCCTCAAATGAATTGTTTGTTCAAAATGAATGTAAGCATGTAATGCAGACGCAGAGAAAAACATACGCGTGAACATGCAATGAAAACCTATGATGCTTTTGTCTCACAAATTGCAACATTAAAGTTTAATAACGCTGAGACAAAAACATAGGAAACAACAACATAGGAAATAACAACAACAACAAAAACAACAAAAACATAGCAAACAACTCAATTTTGAATATCAAAAGTTCAAATGATGCGTCACGTTGATGTGACGTAAATGTGAGTTGACTGCTTAATTTTATGTCTAGAGACGAATGCTCTGACGACAGCTGCACATGTTACATGTCATCGTTGCTGCTGCTGCCGTGGCTGTCGTAATTTATGCCGTTGCAGTCTTTAAACTTCAACAAAATCGATTGTTCTGAATGTAGGAAACTATAATTCGTTTTGTAAGCGGGGTGTGAGGCATTATATCCTTTAATCATTATTTGCAACTAACACTCCGAATGAATCATCTTCATTTGGTGGCAAATTGTATCTGGTGTAGCTCTATGTTTATTATTATGTTTCGATAATGACGACAAAATTATTACAAAAAAAATTTCAAAAATCATTGCAAATATTTATTACTTAAGACAAACATTTTATCTATTATAAATAATACAACACTACAACATAGCGAAACGTACAACCTGAGACTGTTGGACTCGAGGGCACAGTGGATGGGGTAGCGATCAGAGTCTTGCCCTGTCAGGAAAGGGTTGAAGTTCAACTTGAGGAGTGCCCCCACGTTGTCTGGCAGGTTGGCGAGGCATGCTTCATGTAGGGCGGTTTCTCCCGAGCTGTTCAACTTGTCCGCCAGTCCGCTGGCGTGAGAGGAGTTGAGAACCTGCAAAGAAATTTCTTACAGTAATAAAATAATTACCAAAAACTTTAAGCACAATTTCAAATTTATAAGTTTACAAAAACTCTAAATACACCAGATTGATTGTTTTATGAGCAGATTTTAAATATTTTGCATTAGTCATGTTAAAAGTTAAAAAGAATGCTTTTTCTTAGTTTTTGTCAATTTGGTAGCAACATTTTGACACAGATTAATGTTTTGAGTTTAATATTTTGCAATAATAATTAAGGAATTCACTTAAAATTCATATACGTCAATTTATGCATGCAAAAAACAATCGATCAAACGTGAAAATCTTCTTCACAATTTTCAAGTAGTAGGTAGCTTGTAAGATGTTATAGATCAAGGCATATCAATTTCATACAAGAACACACACAGATGTACAAGTACGCAAAACAACACATTCACATAAAGGTGTACAAACTTAAAGATAAGCAGTTAAATATATTAAATGAAATTAACTATATATAATTGATATAAGAGTAAAAGGAGCCACGCAAAGATACGTGAATAAAACAGGTCTACAGAAGCTGTTCACCTCAAAAATTTTCTTATCTTTGCAGGAAGCGGCATAGTGAAATATCGTTCGGCCATTGTTGTCAACTGCGTCATATTTGGCGCCAATTTTTAGGAGCTCCTTCACGTTGTCCAGTTTGGCGACTTTGATGGCAGCGTGCAGAGGCGTGCAGCCAGAGTCCGCGTCCGCTTCGTTGACCAGGCTGTGGAGTGAGAGAATGAGGAGGTGAGAGAAGAAAGTGAGGAAAAGTAAGAGAGGTCTTCAGTTAGTCATATTTTTTAAGGTTGTTACATGGATAGGTTTTCGTGTCCAGGTTAGTTTGGGTGTATTTCAGAGTAATATTATTCAAAATGAATAACAACGCAAATGTGATTAAATTGTTTTGTTTTTGTTTGATTAGTCTTGTAATAAAAACATGAATCTGTTTTATATTCGGATTTCAAATTTGCTAAAAAATATTAAGAACATCCATGTTAAATCTGTTTTAAATTGTTCGTTTAATAAACTTGTTAATAAACAACTACCAATCTGCTTAACATCTAAGATATAACTAACACGTGAGGTTTTTTCATTATTTTTAACTTCACAATTCTGCATACTTTTAGATATAATTTACCAGTTTAAGTTAAATTATGCTATTGAAGGTAAATATAAATATTAATAAATTTGTACAAATGTATACATCTTCAGTTAGCAACCTTTTAATTTCTGGTTTGTCGAGTAGAGCAGGCGATCCGAGCATGGCAGCGTAATGAGCATCGTTGAAGTTCTTGTGGCTCATCACTGTTTCCACCAAAATTTGCAGCTGGCGCACGTTGCAGACTTCCTCGCCGAGAAGTTCCAGTAGAGGTTTTATTTTTTCGGAAAGCAGTTTGAAGTTGTTCTTACCTTCTGCCTCATTCTGCGCTTGCGAGATTCTGGTGTCCGATTTAAAATAAAACTTCTGTTTTGCACATTCAATTCAAACAAATTTATTATATGTTTCTAGTTATAAAGTTAATTTTTTTTAATTGTACCATTAACTAACAAAAAGACGTTTTCTTCAATCTCTGGTGAGGTTAGAAAGATCTGAAACAACTTTGAGACTTTGTACATGGACAGCCTTTCAGCGCTCGCTAGTGCTTTCAATCTGTTCACAAAAGTTAAATGTTTACAAAGTTTTGCAAAAAACTTAGAATTTGTTTTCAGATAAACTTATATGATTTAAAAAATAATCATAAAAAGGAGGAAACAATTAAATTTCTACAAAATTAAGCATCAAAGTTAACAATATGTGTGCCCGCAAGCATACCCTGAAATTTCCTTCAATGGAGTCAGTTTGACCTTGAACTCATTCTTTGCATCTTTCTCCGACTTCTTCTTTGAAAACATCTGGAGTAGTTTATTTAAAATTTTTGATAGAAAATAATTATTGTGAATCATCAATTTGTTATTCGTTTATTACAGAAAACTCCTTAGCATAAGTTACAATCTCAGCGATTGTAACAGTAAGAAGGTAATATCTATTGATAAAAAGCCAACAACGTGACATACAATTCAATAAAATATTAATTTATTTTTGACAGTTTTTTTAAATCTATCAATAAAATTCAAAGCTATATATTTTCATGTGATGTTCATCATAATCCTTTTCAAGCAACAACAAAACAACTGCCACTTTTTTTACAACTGGATTGGAAAAAAAGAAATAATTTTTTTTTATATTTTGAATGATAAAATATCTAATAATAATAACTGAACTCTTGCAAAAACTTCGATCCCCTCCATATTTTCTTATTGAATCAACAACACGCGATAACGAAATGTTCGTCAACGATGAAAAAAAAAATTAACTAAACTTCTCCAAATATCGAAAGAGCTATTGAAATTTTTCAGACACTATACATACCTTTTATAAATTTGTCAATCAACAGCGCAGCAGACAGAGATCTCAATTTCTACTGGTCGCACGCGTGAGTAAATTTTAAAGTCCAACTTAATTAGGGCTGCCACACAGCACAGCGCAGTACACAACGATGACAAACAAATGCGATTACAAAAACTCGACAGCAACTCTATTCTCCTAATTTGAAATTAATTTTTTTTAAAACAACATAAGGTCTGAAGCAGGCAGGCATCACACAACTGCTCACGTACATGCATATCAGATCGGCATATGTGTGGAACAAACGCAATCATATTGAAATGGACCGCACACAAAACACATACACACACACACACATATATATATATATATATATACATATATATATATAAACAAAATACATTATTGATCCAAGATACAGTCAGGTTATAATCATATATTATATATATAAATATATATATATATATATATATATATATATTACTGAAAAATTGTACACAATCACACACACATTTACATACACACGTGTGGGATTGGTTGTGATGATGTTAATGTTTTTTCTAGGAATGATTGAAGTGACATGAAATAAATTTTGACTTCTGTGGTGATGTGGCTGAAGTTGTTGTTGGTGTTTATTTGTTCGGTGAATTTATTATGATTAATCTAGTTATATATGATGAAATTGTTGCGAGACTATGTTAAAAGAAATAACTTTAACAAGCCACCACGTACATTGCTTTATTAAAAATTTCATGAGTAAAAAATTAATAAAGAAATGATTGACAATAGACATGTCATTGAGATAGAGATTCACATACACACGATGATACAGATACACATACATATGATATGATGATACACATACATGTCAGATACACATACATATATGATGATACACATACACGTACATGTGATGATACGAATGAAACATTTGCATTATCTAAAGCTTTCACTGCGAGTTGATGTTGACAAACAAACCTTACACTATACTTCATAATACTTCACCAAAAACAACTTTTGACGTTAGTTTCAGTTCAAGTGTGTGCATGTGTTTGTTCGGTTTTTTGTGAGTGAATGAGTGAGTGAATGACAGAATGAGTGAGTGAGTGAGTGAGTGAAAGAGCGGCAATGAGAATTCTAAATTATAATTGGCGCTATATAAATGCCAACGATAATAATTATAATAATAAGTAATGTCATCTATTGGCTGATTTGTAACAAACGAAATGAAGAGCGTAAACAATATTCAAAACATTTTTCATGCAATGTTAAGTTAACCTTCGACATTCAACAAATGTACAAATGTTTGTTTGTTTCACAGATTTGTCGGGATTAGGATTCCATTTGTATCATCTGGTCCAGACCATCCTGCCAAGAAAATATAAGACGGAGGTACCGAACACTGTAGTGTCGAGTGCACACCAAGCTCATACGCAACAATTGACAAATGTGCACACTTGTGGAGAAGTTACTCAACAAAATACAACCCAAAATGCATATTCGTTTTTAACTGACATTTTGAGTTTTCAAATGTCTGGTCAATGCAAACAAACAGTTGTAATTAAATCAGCAAACTTGTCATTAAGCGAATGTGTGTGTGTGGTGTGTGTAAGTTTATGTTTCTTTAGTATTCAAGCATCAATATATAAATGGGACCTGGAGCAATATCTTGTAACGTGTGGTTGAAACATTCAGATTAAAACATGAGTTTGCACAGTTGAAAGCAAGTGGAGCCACTCTTTTGTTTTGTCCTACTCAATTTGAATCTGGATAGACAAAAATAATGACATATATATAATATTTCTTCACGTATTATTCGTCTCAATTATTTTTTGTAAAATTATAATGATGATCATTATTGAAACGTGAATATAATAATTGTCATCATCACTACGTTTGCGGTAATCATCCTCCTCCTCCTCATCTTCTTCATCCTCATCATCTTCACGATAACAAGCAACGAACAGATGCAGTGGTATGTATCTTTAAACAGATGTCACTGCTCATATCCGCTCTTATGTTTGTTATAATATTCTCCTATAAATAGTACACGCACACACACTAATACACACAAATGCACCACACACATATAACTATGTACAACTGTGTATACTATACACACATCTTTATGCTATACACATTTAGCAATGCATTAGTTTTTCTCATTGACACTCAGTTCTAATACAAAAAAATTCAATAGAATGACTCAACTTACAAAATTATCTACGTTATTTTCTTAAAATTCATAATAATCTCTTAACTAATTATAATAAAATTAGCATAAATTATCAATTATAATTAATCAGGCCATTTTGAGAGCTATCACTATTGATCCAAGCGTGAATTAAGCACGTACGAGATTGATTGGTGCATTTTATAAATGTCAAAGGTGGTTCAGTTCCGATGAAAAGAACCTTTATGGCTTTCCGTAACTCTTTGGTTGAAATAGGTAATGATATTATTAGTTAAGGTGTGTAAACAAAATTGTTTATTTGTGCGCAAATAAAAATGTTTATTTATAATATTATGTAAATATATCTTCTAAGCCATATTAATCCTTGAGATAGTTAAATTAAATTAACAGTATTGCAATTAGCCAAAACGTATTTTGGGCTTTACTTCATACTATGTGGTCAACAAAAACAGAAGCAACACACACGTAACACGAATGACACAACAACCTTACATAACATTTGTGATCATCATCTTCGCAAATGTAGTTAGATTTAACTTAATAATATCTCATTATTATTGTCATCATCTCCACCATCATCTTTATCGTAAATGATTATAAAATACATGAGTAAATAGTGATGAGTCATATGAAGAGAGTATTACCATTATATCATGTATTAAAGAAGTTGCGTGCAAATGTTACCATTAGTTTGGTGTACACAGACACGCACGCACAAACACGGTAAAAATAACGCAAAACTTTTGTGTAACTCGATAATCTAAAAATAAGTTATGTTGAGTGTATCATCAAACTTGAGACTTGAGAGAACGATAGAAAAGTTAGGAATTATTTTTATGCTCAGAGAAATTACTAACATGGTATGGTTGGACGTAACTGTCTAAATCATCGAAACCGATTTTGAAACCCGTGTCCACGCCATAAACAATAATATACCTACTACACGCAGTGCCGACGGAAAATAAAGATCCCAGAATCCCATTCTCGACGTCGAAAACATTCCAGATCGGCTGTCACAAAACAACTACGACCATAAAAACCACTCTATCCTTGCTCGCTCGCCCATCATAGTCATAGCTAATTTTTGAATGTATTAATATTACCAAGAAAAGGTTACAAAGCAACGCGAGCGCCTTCCATCTCATTGCGCGTTCAGTAAACCGTTAAACGCTATTTGATAGACTACGTTGATTCGACAAAGCACCTACCTCTGACCCCGGCGACATCAAGAACGCTCTCATTTTTGACAACACAAGGAAAAACACGAACAAGACAAGTTGTTGGAATTTTCTTGTAACAATATTAAGCAGGAGCCCATTTCAACTTTAATATTTACAAACGAACGAAAAAACTAAAAAAAATTCAAAAAGTTCATCATACTTATCTTTATACAGTATCATGTGAGGATTTAAAACAGAAATAATAACAAAAATTTATTTGAGATCGTCAAAGAATTCATGTTTCAAAGCCTCTCTCATTGTTATTCTCTTCTCAGGCCTGTACTCGAGCATACGACTCATCAGATCAAACAGCTGCTTCTCCTTCGTTGAACGGTCTCGCATGTAGGCCTGTAAACGATTTCAAATAATTAAATTAGAATTGGGAAATGAAAGAGAATGGAACAAAACAGTTTAACAAAGAATTAACAGATTCCGAACATATTCTAAAAATTTTAGTAGCTTATCTCAAAACTTTTACTAGTCTCTTGAAACATTAATAGACACACCGTGAGTAGCAAAAAATTTTAATGGAAAGTTTGAGCTACAAACCATGAGCGGTCGGCATCTTTCCCTAACTCGTCTCGCTATTTTGCCTCCTTCATTCCAGTCCAATCGACCATGTTTGAAATACTTTGTTTTTCTGAAAATTTAATAAAAATTACTGAAACACATTGAACAAACTACTTAAAAATGCGAAAACATATAGGCATTCAATTGAACTTCTAAGGGCAATATTTAATTAGGATAAAATGAAAGGATACAAAAGGCAACTGACATTGATTTCTCCCTCATCGATGTTGGTATTCTGCCAAGGACTCTCTCCATCATGGCCAGGTGCTCCATCGTGTCGTGAGTCTTTCATTGATAAAAGATAGGAATAAATTTAACAAATTAATGAAGATTCTTCCAGATAGGATTAATTAATAACAGCAACCAGAAACCAGGCAGGCAACTTGATCACATATTGCATTAAAAATTATATACATGAAACGAAGCAATGAAACAAGCCCAACTCACTTGGAAGAGCGTTCGACCATAATAAATTTCAAAAATGATGCAGCCAACACTCCATACGTCACATGGGAATGACCAACCAAGTTCTGAAATGATATAACAAGTTTGGCATTTACAAACAATCTTTCACTTGCTCTTTTTAGGCAGTAGGTAGCAGAACAGAGCGAGTTACTAACCAAGTATAACCTCAGGAGCTCTATAGTGTCTCGTTGATACAAGCCCTTTGCTGTGGTCCTCCTCAAAAACAGCTGACCCAAAGTCAATGAGACGAATGTCACTGTCACATATCTGTCTGAATGCTCCCCTCTGCAAAAACGTAGATAGCATAATATTTGAACATTGAATATTGACCAACATAAAATTGTCCAAAAACAAATAAAAATATATCAAATGCACGAACTTTGTGGCAAGTCTCAACAGTAGTGAAATTGAACTTGGAACTGACAAAAAGAATATTTTCAGGTTTCAGATCGGTGTGAGCAAGTCCCTGATCATGGCAAACTGGAAATTAACCAAATTAAGTACTTATAAATAACGTATATATATATATATATAACAAATAGGTATATATATATAACAAATAGGAATAAATTTAAACATATATATATATATATATATATATATATATATATATATATATATATATATATATAACAAATAGAAATAAATTTAAACATTAAATTAATAAATTGTTGGAGAAAAAGCAGCAAGCAGCTGAGAACAAACACTAACACTTGACAGCCCCACAGAGCCTATATGAAATCTTCTGTACATCACTCATGATGAATGGCTGGAAATTATTTCTTCTCTGAGTGAAGGAGAAATTTAATCCAATTAGAAACAATTAATTGAAAACATAAATACTCAATTATGATCAATTTTTAATTTTAACAAATAGTTGAACAAAATTAATAAAAATTGTCCCTGTGAAATTAGTAATTTGAAAAAATAGGATACTGAGAGAACACTTACCATAAATTCATAGATGCTGTGTCCAAGCATATCAAAGACAATGCAGAAGTGGCCATAGTAATCAAACCAGTCGAGAACCCGTATGCACAAACTGGTAAAACATATTACATAAATCCATTTAATAAATTAGTTTAAAAAATCTATCTACCATAAATTGAATGTTGAAAAATGCAAAAAAATTTTCCCCAAATTATAAGTCTTAAAATTCTGGATAAGTGGATTAAGTTGAAATCAATATTAGAAACAAATAAATAAAATTGGGAATATATGTGAAGAGCATGAGCATGAATTACTTGTTTGGTCCATCATCAATTTTTTGCATCTTCTCTATAATTTTGGCTTCCAAAACTGCATCTTCATAATCTGCCTCATCTTTCTTTACTACTTTTATGGCAACTTTTTTATCTTTTCTGTCAAAAAAATAACAAATTTTGATATTGGAAATTGAAAATGAGTATAAGTGAAAATGTGAAAAAATACAATTGCATAAAAACAAACTTTTTATTGTCAAAAGCAACGATGACCTTTCCAAATGTACCCTGACCTATTGTTCTGCCCAGTTGATCTACATCACATGATAAAAAACACGATGGTAATAGAACACAACATAACATTATACAATGAGTGATCAATTAATTATTAAACTTTAGTTGAAGTTTTAAATGTTTTCCAAATAAATTACATGAAAAAAAATAAAAACAATATACTAAGCAAAACCGTTGACTAAGTTTGTTCGATAAGGAAATAAATGAAATATGAATAGATAATAGTACATCTCTCAAGCATGTAGTCGCCCTCCTTATATACTAGGTGCCCTTCCTCATCCTCCTTCACTTTCCGTCGACAATGGGACTTCCTCTTACGCTCAGGACTCTACAGGACACAACGATCAATCGATTACACCCGATAGGACAATGACAGGAAGACGATCAGCACAGGAAGGCGAACACGGAAAGGCAGACGACGACCACCACCACACGGAGGGAGGAACATACGTCGCATCAGATGCACAAAAATGTCAACACACCAGCAGGCAAATGAGCAGCGATCGACACGTTGCGACAACATTATAGCAGTTCGAGGGGATCCCAGAAACCAATGGCACATACACACAAAAAAGATAAGCATAAAATTGAATAAGTACATCGTAATTAATTTTTTTTTAACATTTTATAACATAGAGTAATTAATAAAGTATTAAAATTAAATTATCATAATTGTTCATGCTGTTGTAATTTGTGTCATTGAGGTCAATGTATGATTGAATTATCTAAAAACAAACCCAACATATAACAACCTAACTATTCGCACCACAAAATTAGAAAAAAACTTGATTAACATAATTAACAATGTCATTATTATTGTAATGAGCCACTAATATAAAACTATGTACCTTCACAGATTTTGTATCAAAGCCACTATCAGAGTGGCGGTGACAGCAACAGTCATTATCATGCTTCTTACAGCTCCAGGTGGATGGATGGCTCATGCGACTGGAGTAATAACCCCTATCATTCTCAGGTAACCTTGCACGGTACCCATAAGATCTCCCTTCACCAGAGCCACTGTTTGACATGTTGTGTAAACTTGTTTATTGTTTGTTTATTCATCAATTGTAATTGGATATTATTATTGAATTGAAAGTGGCTAATCCATAATGATGAAAAATATTAATGAGACTGAAGTTTGCCAGCCACATATATTCGAAGTGAGATATGGCTAAAAAAGAAGAGCTTCTATCATATACGCATGCGCGTTATAAGCTGTGCAAATCTTATGTGGCTTGTAGCAGTCTTCAATCCCGTAAAATATTAATCACAATGTAGCCAAAAATAAACTAAAATGACACGGAGCTAAAAATGCCATGAATCAAACAAAATCAACCTTCTTTGAAATATTAATTTAAGATATAGGGCACAGACATTTTAACGTCAAATATTATTTTGCCACTACTAATTTTATTAATTTAATTTTCATATTTTATTTAGACATTTTAGATTCCTAACCTTGACATTTTCAACTGCGGAGTACCTGGGCTAACTGATCTTCTTCGGCGTTTGTTATATCGGATATCAGCGGCAAACTGAACCTCAGAATTTTTTCGTTTCCCTAAACCCATTTTTACTTCTCGAAACAACGATTGGCAGCTAACTAATTAAAAAACTTATAAGCCTTAGCACAGTGTGGGGGCGTGCGAATAAATTACAAAATGGCGACCAAATAGCATGGCACATGTATATACATTATGAACAAACAAGCGTAGATAACTAATAAATAATGTGGCGCTTAGTTTTATTTTTTCAAACGTAAAATATGTAGTGTGAAAAACCTTGCTTATCACAAGGTCATTATTTACATACATTCGAGATATTTTACACTATACTTTATTAATAATTACAATTCGCGATTTAATTATAAAAACGACTGTAATATGTTATCACTATTTTATTGATATGTTCTTATTAGTTGTCACAACCATGGATACATATATATATATATATACATGGTCACAACCTATGTTCTTACTAGCTGTCACAACCTTTCTCCAGGAAAAATTACGAAAATTTACGCAATTTTCTTTTTGAAACGAGTGGGCAATTTAGGAAAGTTTTATCATAAAGGTTTTGTTTCAGAGTATTCAGAATTTTATTTACATAATCACAATCAATCAATCAACCAACCAACCAACCAACCAACCAACCAACCAACCAACCAACCAACCAACCAACCAACCAACCAACCAACCAACCAACCAACCAACCAACCAACCAACCAACCAACCAACCAACCAACCAACCAACCAACCAACCAACCAACCAACCAACCAACCAACCAACCAACCAACCAACCAACCAACCAACCAACCAACCAACCAACCAACCAACCAACCAACCAACCAACCAACCAACCAACCAACCAACCAACCAACCAACCAACCAACCAACCAACCAACCAACCAACCAACCAACCAACCAACCAACCAACCAACCAACCAACCAACCAACCAACCAACCAACCAACCTATCAACCAACCAACCAACCAACCAACCTTCCAATCAATCAATCAATCAATCAATCAATCAATCAATTAGCTTATAAAGCGCTCTTCCCGCAATGTTCAACAGCGCTCCTCAATGAATTTTGAAAACAGATGGGTCTTGAAATCAGCTCTGAACATCGCAAGTGATGGAGAAGTAGTCAGAGAAGTAGGTAGAGAGTTCTAGAGAAAAGAACCAGAAAAAGCAAAAGCAGATTTGACAAAAGAGTGTTTAACACGAGTTAAGAAAAAGCGAGAAGAAGAAGACGATCGTAAATCGGGGCGTTTAGGTTTAATTAATATATCTGATAAATACTTAGGAAATAATTTAGATTGAGACTTATACATGAACGTGCAAATTTTAAAAATTATTCTATATTTTATAGGTGGCCAGTGCAAGAGAACAAGATATGGAGATATATGAGAAAAGAAAGGGGCACGAGCAACTAGATGAGCAGCAGAGTTAAAAGCTTTGCTTAAAGGATAGAGTATAGAGTCAGGAAGACCATATTAGAGCGAATTACAATAATCAATCCTAGATAAGATTAACGAAGTAACAAGAAGGAGAAGAGTAGGATCATCAAGAAAAGGCAAAAGTTTTTTTATTCTACGTAGATGAAAGTAAGAGCTTCTAGCAACACTATTAATCTGAGAAGAGAGAGACATAGTAGAATCAAAGATAAAACCTAGACTACGAAATTTATGAGAGACATCAAGAGTTTTAGCATCAGGTAAGATAATAGGAGGAATAGTAATAGAGTGTTTAGATTTATTAAAAAAAAAATTAATTCAAACTTAGAAGGATTAAGTTTAAGACACATAGAGTCAGACCAAGCGATAATTGAAGAAAGACATAGAGATAAATTATGAAGAACACTATTGAGATTAGATGGAGGAAAAGAAGTATAAATGTAAGAATCATCAGCATATAGTTGACTAGAAAAAGAAAAGTTATTAATGATACGAAGTAGTTCAGAAGTATAGAGTATAAATAGAAGGATAGAACCCTGAGGTACCCCGAAAGTAAGAGTAGAGGAGTTAGAAGTAGAATTATTGAGAACAGAAGAAAAACGATCACAGAGATAAGAAGAAAACCAAGATAGACAAGAATCAGTAATATTAAAAGAAAGATGCAGCAGTCTCAAGCGAATAGTATGGTCAACAGTATCAAAAGCCGAGGAAAAGTCAAGAGCAAGAAGAAGAGTAAGATTACTATTGTCACTAGAGAGAAGAATATCATTGTGTATTTTGAGTAAAGAAGTTTCAGTACTGTGAGCAGGTCTGAAACCATGCATGGATTTTAACGAGCAAGCTATATGAAATATTTACTTGACTTAATATGCTTAAAACATTGTAGTAATTCTCTTTAATTTTATTAAATAAAATTATGATTTTATTAAATAAAATTATGTACTATTAAATTATCGTTGTTAATTTGAATATAAAAATTATACTTTTGGTCCTGTGAAATCCGGTGGCTTTTTACTGAAGCCGAAGGTTGGCTTAGTAGAATTGAACTAGTCATCCTTTTTTACACTATTCGATCATGTTAAAAATTTGTTTGCTCATGAAATAAACGGCCTAAATAGATCAAAATTGTTATTTGAACAACTATCTTCATTATATTCAATGAATATTTTACATTCTGCTGGTGCTCATAGAAATTATGGTTGCTGAAATCATACGTTGGCTTACTGCAGTGGCTTACTGGGTCTCATACAACAGTGTCATGGCGGTTTTCTTTACATATAATGCTTTAAATAAGTCAACATATTCATTTCACAATTATTTTTGTCAATATAAATAAAGAAATTGCTTTTGTCTGGTAAAATAGAGTGGCCAAGTAAAGCCGTATGTTGGCTTAATCGGATTTTTTTTCATATATAAAATACTATGAGATCAATCAATCAACCAACCATTCATTCAATCAACTAATCAACCAACCAACCAATCAATGAACCATATTCGAAAAATATTTGCAAGGCTTGTTCAAACTCGAACAAACGCTTAACTGTACAGATCTACAAACAATTTCGAGATTTTAGTAAAGAAAGAAAAACACAATAGTTGCTTTTATTAAATCAAGAAATATCCAAAAATTATATAACCAAATTAAAAAAAACTAGAAACCAGTCAACATTTAATAAATAATTAAATAAATAAATAGACATTATTAAAAAGATTGTTCAAAAAGGTAAAATTTAAGGCGACGACGAGAATAAAATGTAGTTTGTTTTGTTGGTGTGGGGCTGTGAAGCGAAAACAAACACATCACAAAGAACTAGTAAAAAGTCGCAAGAATAGTAGTCAGTCACCTACCTACAATTAAATTACTCTCAGGGCCCTAGCTTACTTATAATCATTAACTCAACTCACCTACCTACAAATATGTTTTTCTACGTTTTTGGAATTTTACATGTTTTAGGTATTTTATTTTACATATTTCAGCGTTTTTATTTTACTTGAAACTAGCCTACCTACGATTGTTCAACTCATCTCAATCCCTAACTTACCGACGAATTAAATTAAGTTAGGTAAAGAAAATAGAAGGTTGAAGAAAAACATAACAACGACACCGAATGAATGGATGTTGTGTATGTGTGTGTTTTATTGATGTGTGCGTGTAAATGTACGGGCGTGTACTCTCCAAAAACTTCTTCACTCACTACGGACGAACCTCCATTGCACCGACCATCATCTGACACGCATCGATGGAATGAATTTGACCGGATACTGAAAAACACTAAATTGAAAAAAAAATTCTTTAAAGTAAAAAACAAGCCATTGAAAAAAAAGGCAACTTATCTTATTGAGATGATAAATTCGAGTACTTTCAATGGTACGATGGGACAAGAACAATGGCCAAGAACAATGGGACAAGAACAAATTTTCTTTTAATATTACCTTCAAATTGTCATTGGAACGATCATCATGAGACCACCATCTGAAACATGCTGACGCCCACCACAACCCACCTCTCATCATTCTGTAAAAAGATATTTTGATTAGCTTAGTAGTAAATCAAGGAACAAACGAATAAATGATGAACTGAATGATTTAACGAATGAATAGAATGAATCAATTAATGGAGGAATAATTTGAAAGATAGTGATAAAAAAAAAAAACTAAGCCATACCTCAAAAATCGTCGTTGATGTTTTCTTCAAATTGTCATCGGAACGATCATCATGAGACCATCATGTGAAACGTGCTGACGCCCACCACAGCCCACCTCTCATCATTCTGTAAAAATTTTTTATTAGCTTAGTAGTAGATCAAGGAACAAAGGAACGAATGAATAAATGATGAACTGAATGATTAAATAATTAGTTAAAAGAATGAATGAATGAATGAATGAATAGAACGAATTAACGTCAATTAATGGAAGAATAATTTGAAAGATTGAGGGAAAAAATGAATGAATGAGAAAAATAAAAAAACGAAACTAAACCTTGCTTCAAAAATCGTCGTTACTTCAATCCATTGCACCGACCGCACCGACCACCACATTCAGATCGGCACACAAGATTTCATCCGAACTTCTGAGTGTCAGTCGAACAGCCAACGCGCTGATTCTTCCTACACCACCATCATCTTACGTAAATTATCATGAGATCACCATCTAAAACGTGCTGACTCCCACCACTGCCCACCTCTCATCATTCTGTAGAAAATTTTTTATTAGCGTAGTAGTAAATGAATGTTAGAATCTTAGAAGCAAAAAATTATAAAATGGAAATAATGGCAAATAAATAATAACTGAAAATAATAAAGAGATTAAAATGTAAAAAAAAACTTACCGTCGTCCATTCGACAAAGACAGAATGTTGAATGCTTTCCGGTTCCTACGTTGTCCTCCAAAACTGGTGCCAGTCCTCCGAGATTGTTGCTGAAACACAGCCCGTGGAATGGAGAAAGAGAAAATTCTCATCAGAAAGCTTAGCGGTGCCTGCATCTCAAATTGCTTAATAAAAATAATCCTATCTACCTATTCAATTACCTTAACTAATCTATATTAAATTGTTAATGGTACGATAGTCGAAAGTCCCCCTTCATTCTCCCTCCGTTGCACAGAGGTTCACCGACAGCCAGGGCACCGGATAGTAAACCATTGCCGTGCGGATAGTA